CAGTTATAAAACGTCAGTCATGGGGATGTAACGTACAGCATAGGGAATATAGTCAATATTTAATAACTTTATATGGTGACAGATGTTTACTAGACTTGCTGTGGTGATCATTTTGTAATGTACGTAAATATGTAGGCAAATCACTATGTTATGCATCTGAAACTAATATTGTATGTCAACTATACTTCAATAAAAAAAATTACCATCTTATTATTATTCCATAATGCTACCAATGCTCAAATCAGTTTTAGAATATTTTGGTGGAAAAATGCATTTAAAGCATGTTTGAAGTAATCAAGAAAATCAGGCTTATCACGTTCTGAGAAATTCTGCTTTTGAAGACCAAAGACAAGTGTTTGAGTCCTAACAGATTTACTGAGTTTGGAGCCAATGAGTAAATTACTCGACCTTTTTGGTCTTGTTTTTCTCATCTGTAAAATGGGCTCTATCCTGGTCTATACGAATGGAGCCCTTTGAAGTTGTGCAGCATGTAGCCTGAACAGCTGAGAAGCAGTAGCCCTGCCTATATCTGTTTTTGTCTGAAGCAAAAGATTGAGATCAAAACAGCTTACACAGTAGAATAAATTTATGTCACCCAGCAAAATGTTCAGAGGTAGCGTGGCTCCAAGATTAATTAATTTCACGTTCATGTCACCAAGAACCCAAGTTCTTTCGTCTCCCTCTCCTCCCTCCTCAGCGTTACCTTTATCTTCTCTCGGATTTGTCTCTGCAAAGCTGAATAATGGCTGCAATCGCTCCAAGCATCACTGGCCTCCCACAATCATCTCCAAAGACCACAAGAGAAGATGTCCCTTTTGGACAGAAGTTCTCTTCTGGACAATTCTCCAGAAGTCCCTCAGCAGACTTTCTCTCATGTCACTACCCAGAATTGTATCACACGCCCGTTCTTTAAGCAGTCACTTTCAAGAGGAATAGGATTACCATGGTGGGCTTACTAATTAAGACTTACCTCCCTGGGGCTGAAAAAAGGGCTGCTTTCCCCTGAAACCAACCAACATCCACAAACAGTGAATAGAAGGAAGGGAGGAATGAAAGAGGGGAGGAAGGAAGGACACAAGACAGCTACCGAATAGGCAATTCAAGTGTCTTCCACGTGGAAACTACCTGTATAATAAAAAGCTATTTAACTTAAGTGAGATAATGCATGTGAAAGCAAACCACGACTCAATTATTATGTAATGTTATGCTTCAGTCTTTAATCTTTAAATGACATTATTCAGTACATTCACCAGTTATATCTACCAGCTAAATTTATACTTGGTTTGTGACTTTTTAAATGTTAAAATAAAAAATATGCACATTTGTTGCAGAGATGTGATGTAGAGATAAGGAAAATGAAAAAGATGTCAAAATCTTCCCAAATTCTGCCAATTCGAGAAAAAAAGCAGTGTCAACATTTTCATATGAACATCCCTGCAGAATTTTCCCCATGCTAAGTGCATTAAATATGCTTTAACAGAAATACTATACATTCTATACTGTAACCAGCTTTTCACTTTGTTTACCAATATGATCGTAGATGTACACGATAATTTTGTGGCTGAATAGAACCTGCCTTAAAATGTTTAACAAGTCACTTCTATATTCAAAAGAATTGATAATGAAGATATTCAGAAAAGTGTACTACAAATGCTGAAAGCAATATTGAAAAAGGAGTTGAAGAAATATCGAGAACTGGAGGACTGACTAGAACAAGTGTATGGTCTCTCAAGGCCTCCCACTGTCTCCCTACAAACCTGTCATGTAAACGCCTCACCCGCCATTGGCCATCTAATGAACTTGCTGAGCTTTCCTTTCACCTCGGCCCAGATCTATTCCCAATTGGCTATAAGCCTTAAGTCTCTGTCATTCCCTACTGAAGTCCTCTTCAAGATTCAATCACATTCTTTGACATCCACTGCCATGATTTTTAGGGCTATTTTTTATTAAAGGACATAGTGAGGAGTCTGAACAGTCTGAACAGAGAAATGGGTACTCATAGAAATCCCACTTGATACTTAGTTAATAAATTTTTTTTATAAATTAAATTTTTTTAAAGAATGAACTACCTATGATTTATAGCATACCTCACAATGCTTTTCTTTGGTCATCCAGTGAGTACCCAACTGATCTTCATGTGCATGGTCAGGGTGAAAAAACTACTAACAGATTTCAGATACTAATTTTGCCCCTGCATCTACCTGGATTTAAAGGCTAAGGCGCAAAATTCTCTTCCAGTGAAGGTCCAGAGGGTCCAAATTAGCTTTTCCTTTAAGCCTGCATTTAGCCAACTCTTCCCACACTTCCAAGCACTGCTTTTTCTACAGGAACTCACAAATCTATGTTAGCCTCAGCAATGCCTAAGAACTCTCAGTATTTTCTAGTTACCTGCATATACCTGAGCTTTTCCCTTTATGAGTCTTTCCAACCAACCAGAGCAAATGCTAATGTTTCATCTCCTGAATATCACTGGTTGAAATTACAATTCACGGCAGTTTTTACAGCCCCTAGAAAGCAGATAGGGTTAGCTATATCTACATAAAACAAAAACCACAAAAAGGCAAATCAAAGCTGGAGCTGCTTAATATGATTAGAAAAATTGCTTGATACTTTTCAAAATGTGGCATTCAAATTAAAAATCTGTAATAAACTGCTAGTGAAAAATAATCCAAACAGATATTGAACATTGGTTGAGAGGTAGGGAAAAAGAATCCCTTTTCACGGCTGGCAGGGGTGTAAACCGGCACAGTCATCTGGAGAGCAGTGTGGCAACAGCGTGGAAAGGAAGTGTGTACATACCTAACGACGTGAGGATTCTCCCCTATGTGTAGACCCTAGAGAAACTCTTACCACGGTCTATTAGCGATCTATTGCTGTATAACAAATTACTCAAAACTGAATGGCTTAAAACAACATTTATTATCTCACAGTTTTTGGGGGTCAGGAATTCAGGAGTGGCATAGCTGCGTAGTCCTGGCTCAAGGTCTGTCTTGAAGTTGCAGTCAAGATGTTGGCTGGGACTCCAGATACCTGAATGTTTAACTTGGGCTGAAGGATCCGCTTCTAAGATGCTGCAGTCACATGGCTTGCCAGTTGGTCCTAGCTATTGGCTGTCCCACAGGGCTGCTACAACGTCCTCAGAACACAGTAGTCGGCTTTACCCAGAGCAAGTGACCCAAGAGAAGAGGGTGGAAGCAGCAATGTTATCTTATGACCTAGTCTGGGAATTCGCACACCATCACTCTGCCATGTTTTGTTGGTCACACAGGCTAACCATGATACAAGGTGGGAAGGGATTATACAGGGGCATGAACACCAGAGGCCGAGGATCACTTGGGACCATCTAGGAAACTGGCTTCCACACATGGGTCCATAGAAGACGTGTATGACAACATTCACTGGGGTATATTTGCAGTGACGAGGAACCGTAGGCAACCTAGGTTTTCATTCCTAGAGAAATCTGGAAGTAAAATGTAGTGTATGTCCGTGATGGAATACCTTGCAGCAATCAAAAGTAATGAACTAGATTTACACATTTTTTCAACTCAAAAGAAACAAATAGAAAAACAATGAGATTTATAGCATAATGAACTGATACAAATTTCAAAAACACTTTATATTTTTTCACACTACATATTTTTAACGATACACATCTTGCTAAATAAATACATAAAAGGTTGACTGGAGAGACATTAAAAGTGGTTGGATATGGAGGGAAGGGAATTGAAGAGGAGTTGAAGGACAAAGTAAGAAAATGAAACAAAAAAAGGGCTTTGCAAGAACACTTGTGAAGAGAACGTCATGAATTGAGGAGAGGAATTACCGCAATTTTATGTAGTTGTTAAAAAATTTAAAAAAATTTTTTAGTAGAGTTGTAATGTGGCCCAAGCAGGTCTAAGAGATCTTATTGAAGCAAAATTCCTAGTTGAAAGGTTCTACTAGTTTTCTTTGTGTTGTAGTTTTTATGAGAGTCATTCCTGTGGGAGGAAAATTTCAATTCTCTTAAATACTTCCCCTGAATTCTTGTTGGAATGAAATTCTCTTAACAGAACACAAACTCCTTTCATTTCTCACATGGAGATATTTAAGATGCAAATAACCTTGAGAGAGGTAGCCTGCAAATAAAATTTATAATAAGGAGTAAATGATTGGTATCAGATTTCCTCGTTAAGGATGTGTTTCACGAGAGGCTAAAGAACAGAATTTTAAATTTCTTGAAACTATATAAGGGTGGAGGGGATAGAAAAGGGAAGGAGCATAGAGGGGGCACAGTGAGCTACCAAAGAAAGATTAGATCTCTCATGATTCTGATCAAAATTAATGCTTTTAACAAATTTCCTTTTTGGGTTGAAACAAGAAAAAGAGATTACCTTGCATTTATGGTAATTTAGTTGAGTTTAAGGTATACCCACAGACAGATCTTCAGTTGTTTAATATTCACTATGGTTAACAACTAAAGAAATACACTATGTTTCAAACTGATGATAATTTTCTGGGTTTAATAGTAGTGGACTGTTTGACTGATTATCTTTGATTGGTCACTACTTGAGTGAATCTAAACCTAAACTTGAGGGCAGGCCAGTTTTTTATAATTTACAGAGCAATCAGGACTAAAATGGAGACAGTCAGGTTAAAGCCTAATTTATCTTAATGAAAGTATTTTGTGTATACTTGTAATTGTGTGATAGGAGAGGGTTGGGAAAATTTTTCTACGTTAGGGGAGAACAATGCTACTGGTTTTATTGAGGATAAACCCAACCTAGGGCACTGTGAGTGCAAGACTCACTCACACAACCAACGACCCACATATGGATAGTGACAGTTGTTACTAGACCAACTGTGGCCCTTTTGGGATCCTGCCCACCACTTCTGGAACAGCTACTCCTGCTTAGTAACAACAATGAGGATACCATGTCCAAAGTAGCCTATATTTACCAAGCTTTCCTATTTTTCAGGGATATTTTACTTTTAAAAGAAAATTAACAGTCTTGAAAGATTGCTCTTTTCTGTGTGTATTTTATTTCTTATTTATGAGCCCCTCAGACAGCAGACATGTTATTACACCATCTAAGCCACTTATACACCATCTAATGTAAATTAACATAAGCATGTATCATCCCTAAGGTCGCAAACCCCCATGAAGAAGAGGCCCCAGGGAGCATCTGGCAGTTCCATAAACAGAGAACCACACACTACTCCCAGCATCACCGTGCTCCTCGCTCCACATGGTATTTTTGATTAAGCACCAGCCCCTTAAGGCATCACTGCAGTATTTGATTAACAAAAACTGACATATTTACACAATAACAGCTGATTTTCATCTAAGTCTTCACAATCTAGGGATTTTGGAAAATACTCTGCGGCTTCCAAGCATTTTAAAGTTAGGAATCTTTTCTTCAAAACTTTTCTCTTCTCCTTTCACTCTTAAAGGCCATTTTCTAGCGACACTATCTAAGGACCGCGTCTCCACTAGGTGTAAGCTCCATGAAGGCAGGGCCTGTGCTCGTCTTGTTCATCAGTGATTGCTCAGAGCTCAGCAGGGCATCAAATCACAGTTCATGAATGCCTGAATTTGTATCTCAAGACTTAGCAGACTAATTTATCTGGCCAGTTTTTCTTATTGATAAGTGGGTTATACGTCTACCAATGGAAACATTTCTCCTATCAGAGCAAGACCTTAAAAATGTATTCTAACATTTTCAATAGGAAAATGTGAAAGAAAAAACAACAAAATGCGGTCCAGAGAGGTTCAGAGACTCATGAGAGTCACACTACTTGACTTAAGCCCTCTCAGACTAATGTTCTTTGAAGCACATTCTGCTGCTCTTCCTTTATAATTCTGTAAAAATAAAATTTAATTTAACTGCCTTTTTGAAAAGAATATATTTTCAGGTTCATTAAGAAAAACTAAAAACTAGTTTGTAAAAGTCTTTTATTGTATCCGTGCCACACATAGTAGTGAAAAATAACACTCCTAAAAAAAAGAATGCTACCTTTTCCACAACATTTTATTTTAAATAAAACTTCAAGTACTCTTACATAGGTACAAAAAAAATTCTGATCTATTTGCCTCCAACAGGCCACCACAACACACAGTAGATAAAACACAGTGGTTACAAATGTCTTTTAAATTTATTTCTGAGGCAAGGCAAATGGGAGGGAAATGTTTTTATGAAAAAATACTGTGTGCGTAGGAAATTGTCACAATTTTATTCCACATGGATACAAATGATTATACTTTAATTTAGGCCCTGGTGGCTTAAAATTATATAACAAAATAGAAAAATGGAAAACTAATATCCCCTACACCCTGTTTCAAAGGCAGGCACTACCAAGATCAAGGAGACGCCACAGTGTTGGTAGAGGATAATTACTGTACAAGCTGTAGAGCTATAATTACCTTCAGACTAAAATAAAATGCTACAGTCCTTCTAAGGCATAAACAATAATGTCTGCAAACAATATATACACATAATACATATTTAAAACAAGACTTAATATAAACAATAATGAACAGTATATACATGTCAATTTTTCTTCACTGTCTTGAAATACAATTTAACTACACAAGCGATGCAGCAACATATATATATATATAAATGTACTTGTAACTCTACAGTAAAGTTTATTTTTGGTGCCTTTATAGCACATCAGTGTAAACAGTTTCACTTGGCTTTGTTTTATACTTTAAAACATTCCTTGTTGTAGTTTCAAGATTTAAAGCAATTTTCTAGTTCTTCCTTTTCACAGAAAACGAAGATTCTGGATGTGGTTTAATCATAAATAATTCATAAAATTAAATACATTCACTAAAAAATAAACTACAAAGTAAAAAAATGAAAAATAGATATTTATTGAGAGGGAAAGGAGAACCGTTTCCCATGTTAGAGCTCTGGTGTTGAATATTCAGTGCGATTTGATATATTTTAATTGCTATTGCACTATAACACCCTTTCCTTTGAAAATTCTTTGGGTGTGCTTCCCTGTTCTACCTAAATTAGCTGACAAATCACACAAACCAATAACCAAGGGCCTTGGTTGTTGTAGGAGTGAAGCCTTTAAAAATGGTATCATTCTTCTGATACTTTTTTTTGTGATACTTATTTTAAGGAAAAAAAGTCATTATGAATGTGCCTTGCACATTTATGTAAATACAGTTCACATTGCTGGTCTCATGTGTCCTTGTTTGAAAGGAAAAAGAAAAGATTCTTATAACTTCAGCTCACTTTGAAGGTATCTGTCCACTTCTTTTCAAAATACTTCCTCATACTGTGGCCAGCTCTACCTATATCAGAATCATCCTCATTAAATGTTTCACAGTTGTCAAAAACAAGCCTGACATCGAGAGCAAAGGCTTCAAGGCTTGGATACCTGAAAGAAAACACACAATTTAGAGGTTGCTTCGGTAGGGTGGTTTTGTTTTGTAAACAATTGCAGAGGTAATAAAAGGTAAAATTGAAAGTAAAACTAAGCGGAAACAGAAAAAGATCAGGATAACTGCATTTAAACTGTTATAACATATACTATAGCCTCTTATAAAGGGAACTCTTGAAAAACTGCATGTGCTCTGAACCATATAGGATTTAAAGACAGATTAAATGGAAAAACAGATTTCTCTGAAGATCAACACATTTCAACCAACTAGCATTTCCCTACATCCAATTTCCCACCTGACCCACAGGATTCACCCCCTTGAGTAGTTTATTAACTCCTCTGACCCATGGTATCACTTGTAGTACCCTATTATCCACCTTCAAAAATATTCAGTTGCAGTAGAAATAATGTACATGCTTCCTACACACCATAAACATTACACTTGCCCCATAGCTTTCACATACATCCCAGGATATGCTGCTCTATGTTAAAACTTCCCCATTTCCCATTTCTCCTTTTCTCTCTCCAAATATGCTCTTTTGCTCAAGTACTGGGGTATGATGACCCAAAACAAGGAAAAAAAGCATGTGCTATCCCTTTACCAAGGATGACATTATGAGGACCTGCCTCTTAGGAAGCAGCACTGTGGCTTCAGTGCTGTTTTGGTGGGATGAGGCCAGTTCTCTTTCTCTGCAAGAGCACGGGGAAGAGACAGGAAGGTGAGTGAACCTGCCTAAGCTTATCGGTAAGAAAGGAGTGGTTCATTTCAAGTCAAATCAACACATTTTGAAAGAAGCCTTTTGGAAATTAAAATTTAAATTAATTCTAATTTATGATAAGATGGATACTAAAATAATTTACTCATTAGAAACAGCTGTGAAGCACACACTGAAGCTCTGAAATTTGGGAAAAGTGGAACTATTTCTTTGATGAAATACCTTGTACAGTCTTTCACTCCCTCCTTCTGATATGTGCAATAATAAAAGTAATAAAATTTATTTATCTGTAGTGAGCTCACAGAGTTAAGTCAGTTCTTATGTAACCTCATGCATTTTCCTGTTCTTCTGGGAATTATTATTATTTTTTATTTAGGTGAAATTCATTCAACATAAAATGAACCATTTTAAGATAGACAATTCATTGGCATTTAATACTTTCACAACTTTGTACTACCACCACCTCCATCTAGTTCCAAAATATTGTCATTACTCCAAAAGGAAACCCTTCATCCATTAAGCACTGACTTCCATTCCTCCCTATTCCCAGCTCCGGGCAACCACCAATCTGTCTTTCTGTCTCTATGGATGAACCCATTCTGGATATTTCAGATAAATGGAATCATACAACATGTGTGGGAATAATTTTAACAAAATATTTTAAAGTTACTTTGGGAAATATTTATCTCTTTAGACTGTTCCTTACTACAAGAAAAAGTTAATGATTAATGCTGGGGAGGCTAGAATCCAGGAGAGAACTCTAGGTAAGATGCTAGGTGAAGCGCCCTACCCACATCTGTGCCTTTCTTATAGAAGGATGGACAGCTGATGGAAACCAGAAAGATTTACTAAAGTAGACACCTCCTCTCCTCTGTTCTAGAAAAAATTTCTAGTTTAAAAACTTGAAATAGTTTGTGAGTTTTGGTTCCAACTCAGTTTGCGTTTAATCAAACAACTCAAAGTTAGAGGAGCCTGAATCCACTGAATTTTGCCTCCCACAAAGCTGGCATCACAAACAGGATTATAGAGAACTGCTTCTCTCTCTCTGCCTGCCTTCGCTGTGACCTCCTCCATTCACCAGGACTCATTCTCCAAAGGGGGCTTCGATTCTGTAGCTCTTTTGCTTATTCTGTGTTAATGTATAAGCCTGTTTGTTTTGGGGATTTTGAGGTCTCTATCCAGGAATCAGGGAATCATGGAAGCTAAAGCCAAGAGTTAATTTAAACACTGATAGTCTTCTTGGCCATGTTGATTATAAAGTGAGTTGTGCTACCCACCCCGCAAAATATTTGATTATTTTGATGGAAAAAGCAAAAGAGCTAGTCCCATATCTAGAGAGCAGCTTCTGCTGTTTGGTTCACATTAGAACCAACAGTTTTATTGGTTGTAAATGTTTTCTGAATTTGGGCAGGTCCTTTCTGTAATTTTTTAAAAAAATAAAACAAAACAGACATAATCCTTTGAAAGACTGACATTTCAGCCTCCAAAGAAATAAATTAGTAATTTGGTCAATCGAGTAAATCAGCTGATATATGTGAAAGGGATACCGACCATTATGAGTTAAGTTCTGCTCAACTCTTCTAAATAGTGTAAATTATGGAGCACAGCAATTTTTACAAAAAGAACGTCCAGGAAGAATTAAATGATATGCTAAATAATAATGATAATAATAACAATAGTGATATAATTCAACTATATTTTATAGCTATTTTTCCAATGTAAAGTTCCTTCTTTCTCCATATTTTTTGTGACTGCCTGAAGTGATGGGCACAGGCTACATTAAGCTAAACTGGGAAGCAGGAAGAAAGGGAGCAGGGGAGAAGGGAGAAGAGAATACAGCCCCAGAGACCCTGGCCATTTACATGTGGAATGCCTTTGTGGGGGTTCTGTAAGTGAACAGCCTCATTCTTGTGGCTCCAAAATGGGCCAGTGTCCAGAACCAACTAAATTCCACTGACAGCTGCTACTCTCTGGCAGGAGTTTGAAGTGGTCTAAGAAAGATTATCTTTTTATTTTTATTTTTTTTTTAAGATTTTATTTTCTGCTTTTTCTCCCCAAAGCCCCCCCAGTACATAGTTGTATATTCTTTGTTGTGGGTCCTTCTAGTTGTGGCATGTGGGACGCTGCCTCAGCGTGGTTTGATGAGCAGTGCCATGTCCACGCCCGGGATTCAAACCAACGAAACACTCGGCCGCTTGCAGCGGAACACGCGAACTTAACCACTCGGCCATGGGGCCAGCCCCAGAAAGATTATTAACCGTGATCTTTAACAGGAAATCATTTCACTCTTTGGATAAGACCACAAAGAGAATATGGTAGAGAGGAGCAAATAATAGTTTATTCCACGTTTAATAGACGCATTTTTAACATACTCCAACAACTCATAATAACACTTTTAATATTTAAAACTTCTAGTGAACTTCTATCTCTACACTGTAATAATCTGAAAATATTATAGAGTCAATTTCTGTTAAATCCACAAAAGACGGTGTCTCTGTTCCACTGATACACAATACAAGCGCCAGCTTATACCTTACTTTCTTACCTTGGGGGACTTACCTGACACTTTTCCTTACCTCCCAGGCTGGGTTTGGTACCATTCCAATGGAAAAAGCAGCTTTATCACACTGCTTTTTAATTGTTTAAATAATTTTAATTGACTTGTTTTTCATGCCATACTACCATAACCAAATACACACATACACATACCCACACCCTTTCCAAAGGCAGGGCCTATGTCTTTGCTGTTAATTAATGTATTTTTGGCTCACTAGAAAAGTACCAGCACATATCAAACATTCAATAAATATTGAACTGAATGATTTACTTACTGTCCACTACTTAATTTCTCTCTAATTGTGGAAAAATCCATAGGCTTCTTAATAACTTTCTTATAACCAGGAACAAGTTTCAAGTTTACAGGAAGTAGAAAAGGCCATGCATCCTCATGAGTTTCCATTTCAGTAAGGATCATACTAAAAAAAATAATGTTTGCAATCAGTATCTATGCTTCAGCATTATCTATTTTTATTAAAAATTAACATCGTAATCTCTCAAGTAAAAACAATACAAACTAATTTGTTAAAAAAGATAAAAGAATATATCTATTTATAATATAGACTTAGGTTTTCCTATTTACACAAACTATCAAAAAGTCACCTTTAATATGGCAGAAAATTTCTAAACAAATAAAATGGGATGCTATGAATATAGAGTACATGAAAACGGAAATAATACCTGCAAAGAGCTAGGTCCTTGGCATCATCTCTTTTAGGTTTCTTAATAGAAGTAAAACTTTCTTGTTTTGACAAATTAATAGAAGTGCTTTCCTCCATTTTTCTTTTTTTCAAGTCTTTGTTTCCTCTTTTTAGTGAGCTACTTGTAGATGCAGAGTCTTCATCTTCAGTATCCCCTGTTAAAGACACTTTCTTGCCTTTCTTTGATTCATTAGTCTTTTTTCCTTTGACATGAAGTTTTTTGATTTTTAGAGTTTGACCACTTGCCTTTAATTAAAAAAAAAAGTAAAGGAGGAATAAGAAAATAACTGTCTACAGATCTTCTATTATTTTAAATTATGAAAAGCTGACATGTCAAACAAAAAGAATATTATTTCTGATCTAGAAGGTTGATAATTTTATTATTCTCAAAAGAGATCTATGAATTTGTTCTCCCATAATATAAGGCTAAAATTGAATAAAGGATGAAAAAAATCTATGCTAAGAATTCTTAAAACTTGAAGATGCTGATCTCATTGTAATTTATTTTACTTTATTTTATTTTTTTAAAGATTTTATTTTTTCCTTTTTCTCCCCAAAGCCCCCTGGTACATAGTTGTACATTCTTAGTTGTGGGTCCTTCCAGTTGTGGCATGTGGGACGCCGCCTCAGCGTGGTTTGATGAGCAGTGCCATGTCCGTGCCCAGGATTCGAACTGATGAAACACTGGGCCGCCTGCAGTGGAGCGCACGAACTTAACCACTCGGCCACCGGGCCAGCCCCCTGATCTCACTGTAATTTAAACAGTCTTTAGTACTACAGAATTTAGCAGCAGTATTCCTTTAGTCAGGTCACTAACTGAATGAGTTTAAAGATACAAAAGGATTATCTTTTAGAGTACAATATAATTAAGAACAAAGGTGAATATAAACAAAAATACAGAACTTATTCATAAGAAAGTTGAAGAGGTAACTTAAAAACTAGGCCAAACATGAAAAATAGCTCATGAAATAGAATGGCTAACCTAAAATATAAAAAGTAGCTCATCTAAAATAGAGAAAAAGTCCTTCATAAGTGATCAAATATACTAGAAATTGATATTTTTTCTGGATAAAGAAAAAAAAGCATTTTCTATAAGAAGAGAGTTCCACAAAGTTGTGGTTCCCAGGTATGAACAAAGCAGTGATGAAGGATGAGAAAAAAAGAAAAAAAGATGTCTGTTTTTGAGGAAAAAATAAACAAATAGTATAAGAGAGATTATATTTAGAATCAAACGATATGAATTCCAGCTACAGCTCTGTCAGTAACTAGCTATGGAACTTTATATAAAAATACCTGTGAGCCCTGTTTTCTCATCTGCAAAATAAGAAAGACAAGCCACAAAACCAGTGAGGTCATTCTGGCTCTAAAATTACACGAAAGAAACCCTCAATACGGCCTCACGTAATCTAACCACCACTTGCAGGCAGCACGCGCATGGAGCAGTGAGTCCCCTTCTCCTCCAGCTTAGGAACAGGGAAATAAGTCTGCATTTTGAGAGTTAAATGTTATAGTAAACATAACAGATTATAAAAGAGACACATGCTAGGTGGAAATTAGTATAATGATAAGGAGATCTGATCGGTGGTTACCAGGGAAAAGGGGGGGTGGGGGGAGGGCACAGAGGGGGAAGTGGTGTACCCACAACATGACTAACAAAAATGTACAACTGAAATCTCACAAGGTTGTAATCTATCATAACATTAATAAAAAGAAAAAAAAAAAAGAGACACATGCAAAGTCACTGGTAATGCATGGGTTTTGTTTCGAGTTTCCAGAATAGTGTTTACTGTCTCTTAGAAAATTATTTCCTCTCTTACCCAGACTGGTAAGAAATCTGACTGCAGAGTCAGATATGCAGTCTAACCAATATTTAAAGTTGGCTGTATTCTTGAAATGAATTTGGTCAAAAGCATTTCTTTGGAGTATTTCCTTATCAGTTTCTTCGGGGATTTCATGACCTCTTCTAGCAATATTTCTTAAAAATTGCTCTTAATCAAGCAATTAAAATTATTTGGTTCTCTATTGGCAGGTTAAAAGCATAGTTAAGGAAATATTTTAATTGGCTAACATAAGGCAAACCATAAATCTAACACCTTCCCCTTATCATATCAAAGATCACTATCCCTTGTAACTAACTGAAATAATTAAAATGTTTTACTAAGTCTCTTCTCCATTTAGTTTATTAATTTTTACTCACTAAAGTGTGATTATTTTGAGTTTTCATACTACACCGAGCTTTTAGAATTCTGAAATCATAAAAAAAGAAAATGCTTAAAATAATGAGGAAAAAGTCCACTTAATGAAGATTAAATTAAATTAGCTCGAATAATTGTGTTAATTAAAAATAACAAAATTTCATGAATAATAGGTAAAAACTTCTAGTTCCTATGTGAACTAAAATATTACTTGGGATCATTTTCTAACAAATTAATATTTACATTAAGAAAACATGAAATTTAAATCACAGAATCAAAAGATTTTTGTGATTTTTCAAAAGACAATGAAGTCTACTTCTTTAACAAATGATGTTCCTCAGCTGACTTCAGTACATTGTGTACATACGCATGCTATCATAAGCAGGCTTTTATACAGTTACCCCATTGCCTGATTACTTTGTTCTTAGACAGAGATACCCCCCTGCCCACCCTTTCTATCTTGTTAGAGCTCAAATTCAAACAGGAACTTGAATATGTCTTAAGCAGAACCCATTACATTACACACACAGGGCACATTTCTGTTACGTTGGTATAGTCATATATCAGAAGTTGTGAACTGGTGGTTCACAGGCTGTAAAAAGCCCACAGAATGTGTCGTTGTTTGGCTCATATAATGCTTGTAAAAATTCTGAATTTGTTGCCAGTATTTAACATTTTGGAAGCTATGCATAAAAATCCATAATCTTGAAATATTGGTAGATCCTGGAACACTGGGTCCACATGTCTACATGACAACAATTGGTTGGCGTTGAGCGCTGAGTGTCACTTTCAAAAGGGGCATGACTTCCCGGTTTGCCACAGACCCACCTCTTCTGTATTATTTATCTGGTTTTTGTAGGCACAGGAGTTTGAAACTTTGCGTGTGTGTATGTCTGTGAGTGTGTATAAATATGTATACTTACAAACAAGTCTTTTTGATTCTGTGATCCTGTGAGATATATATAATACATGTAAATATATAAAAATACAGTAAAGTATATGTATATACATATATTGGCATGCACACACACATACACACAGAGGAAAAATTCTTAATCACAATGATTTATGTAGAAATGGCCATTTGAGAGCAAGATGGATAGTATAAATATTTGTAAATAGCTATGAATTAACTTGAAAGATATTTTTAAAACCTTAACTTTAAAAATCCTTAAATACCAAGGGGCTGGCCCCGTGGCCGAGTGGCTAGGTTCGCGTGCTCTGCTGCTGGCGGCCCAGTGTTTCGTTGGTTCGATTCCTGGGCGCGGACATGGCACTGCTCGTCAAGCCACGCTGGGGCAGCATCCCACATGCCACAACTAGAAAGACCCACAACGAAGAATATACAACTATGTACCGGGGGGCTTTGGGGAGAAAAAGGAAAAAATAAAATCTTAAAAAAAAAGAAGATCCTTAAATACCAAAATCAAATGTTTATGATATTTTTTGTTGCTGTAAGAAACACAACATCTAATTCACTACATTAAAAAAACAAAACAAGCAGAGGCTTAGAAAGCTGCATTTACAGGGAAGGGCTTGGATGAGATCATAGATCTTGTATCTCCTAGTCCACTCCTCGAATGACAGATAGCCAGAATTCTAATTCAAGCAAATTTACTAAAAACAAAACCTCTATAACCTACCAGATGATACCCCTAAGACTTAAAACACTGATTTGTTGGTAATTCATAAAGTATTAGAAAAACTTTCTATAACTTAGTTATGAAGCTAAAAGATAATGTATGTACAACTAGTGAAGATTATTATTGAACTACATATGACAAAAATGATCAAGTAATGACAAATATAAAAGCTATTATTAGTGAATATGATGCCATGTGGGACCCTTTGCTATTTTGTAAAATATAGTCTAAAATGTAATAAAGTATTAATGTAAACACATCACAGAACTTTCAAGCTATAAAAACTTTCAGACACATGACCATATTTGATCCTCACAGATCCCTACAAAGCAGATACTATCCCATTTTACAGATGATAACCCTGAAGCTAAGAAAGTACGCCAACGTTTGTAGATCAGGGAGGTGAGAAAAACCAGCAAAGGAGACTGAAAAGGAGGAAAGGCAAGAAGAATACTAGATGATTTTGGTATCCTAGATGCCAACTGAAAACAGGGTTTCAAAGAGGAGGGAGTGTTCCATGCTATCAGATGCAACTGATAGGTTAGATGAGGCCTAAGCCCTGATCACTGCACTGAGCAACGTCATTTGTGGTCATGACAAGAGTAATTTTGGAGAAATTATAAAGGTGGAAATCAGAATTGTGTGAGTTCAAGAGTGAACCAGGGGACAGATGTCAGCAACATGGCAGAGTGAGCTGTTCTCTTTCTCTCTCCTCCTTTGAACTACAACTAAATGGACATTCATTGGTCAATGGAGGATACCCACACAGCAAAACAGAACTTCTGAGAGACCCGTGAGGCTACACATCTGAAGACGGATGGATTACCCCTGAGGAGGTGGTGGAGACAGGTGAGCACTCTCTGGCCCCTTGGCAGCCCTGCGCATGCCTGAGACTGCTCTCCCAGCTGGAGCACCCATAGCACTGCTGTGGGAACAGGTGATGGCAGCCCTGAGCCCAAGCATGGGAGGTGGGAGGGCCCATGGTCCCAGGGAGTGGCCCAGGCTTGGACCCAGTGAGGAGGCTCTGCCAATGAAGCACAAAGGCTCGTGCAACTTAGGAAGAGGCAGTGGCAGATCTGTGCACCCAGGTCAACAAGTTCCTAGCTGCTGCAAACACCCATAGTACCACTGCAGCCCTGATGGGGGGAGTGCATTTTGGCAGGACCATGGGGGCAGACAGCAGCAGCCCTGAGCCCCTTTGTGATTGCTTTCCTGTCCAGTGGGAGAGCCCACAGTGCTACTGTGGTACCCAGGCAGTGGCCTAGGCTTGGATCCAGTGGAGAGGAGTCCCACCAAGCACAACAGCCAGTGAAACCTAGGAAGAGGTGGCAATGGATTTGCGTGCCCAGGTAAATGACTTCCTGGCTGCTGAGAATGCCCACAGCACCAGTGCAGCCCTGAAGGTGGG